GAGGGCGGCGCCAGGCTCTGCTCTATAGAGCCCGGGGAGGGAGGGAGGCGCCAGGCTCTGCTCTACAGAGCCCGGAGAGGGAGGGAGGCGCCTGGCTCTGCTCTATAGAGCCCGGGGAGGAAGGGCGGCGCCAGGCTCTGCTCTACAGAGCCCGGGGAGGGAGGGAGGCGCCAAGCTCTGCTCTACAGAGCCCGGGGAGGGAGGGAGGCGCCAGGCTCTGCTCTACAGAGCCCGGGGAGGGAGGCGCCAGGCTCTGCTCTATAGAGCCCGTGGAGGGAGGAAGGCGCCAGGTTCTGCTCTACAGAGCCCGGGGAGGGAGGGAGGCGCCTGGCTCTGCTCTATAGAGCCCGGGGAGGGAGGGAAACGCCTGGCTCTGCTCTATAGAGCCCGGGGAGGGAGGGAGGCCCCAGGCTCTGCTCTACAGAGCCCGGGGAGGGAGGCGCCAGGCTCTGCTCTACAGAGCCCGGGGAGGGAGGGAGGCGCCAGGCTCTGCTCTACAGAGCCCGGGGAGGAAGGGAGGCGTCTGGCCCTGCTCTATAGAGCCCGGGGAGGGAGGGAGGCGCCTGGCTCTGCTCTGTAGAGCCCGGGGAGGGAGGGCGGCGCCAGGCTCTGCTCTATAGAGCCCGGGGAGGAAGGGAGGCGCCAGGCTCTGCTCTACAGAGCCCGGGGGAGGGAGGCGCCTGGCTCTGCTCTATAGAGTCCCGGGGAGGGAGGGCGGCGCCAGGCTCTGCTCTACAGAGCCCGGGGAGGAAGGGAGGCGCCAGGCTCTGCTCTACAGAGCCCGGGAGGGAGGAAGGCGCCTGGCTCTGCTCTATAGAGCCCCGGGGAGGGGAGGGCGGCGCCAGGCTCTGCTCTATAGAGCCCGGGGAGGGAGGGAGGGAGGAGCCAGACTCTGCTTTACAGAGCCCGGGGAGGGAGGGAGGCGCCAGACTCTGCTCTACAGAGCCCGGGGAGGGAGGGAGGGAGGCGCCAGGCTCTGCTCTACAGAGCCCGGGGAGGGAGTGAGGCGCCAGACTCTGCTCTACAGAGCCCGGGGAGGGAGGGAGGGAGGGAGGGAGGCGCCAGGCTCTGCTCTACAGAGCCCGGGGAGGGAGGGAGGCGCCAGACTCTGCTCTACAAAGCCAATAATTAAGAAAAGTCAAAGAATTCTAGTGAAAATGTTAAACAATTTGAAAAAAAATAAATTGATTGAGTCTACCATGAAATAAACGTTAAAAAAAATAGAATATTTCAATACTAAAGAAACCATAAAAACGTAGAAATGTTTGCTAAACGTCAAACATTTATAAATAATTAACATTAAATTAACTAAGTAAATTTAATTATAAAAAAACAGTTGTAAACAAAACTCAAAAAAATAAAGAAATCTCTGATAATAACATAAATTATTAGTAATAAAATAAGATAAAAATCAAGTTTTTCAACAATCAAAATAAATAATATAATAATTATTGAGATAAAGTACATATATACGAGGTAAGATACACACACTGAGAGGTATACCTCGCTTCTCCGTGTGTTAACTCGGTACTCGCGTTCTGAGTTTACTTAAACCATTAAGTATACCTCAGTTTTTAACTAGAGGACAGAAGTAAAGTTGGTCAGTAAGCACTATACACCGGCTGCTTTAATAACCCTCCAGAGAGGCTTAGGCCTTAACCCCAAACCGACCAATCAATAAAAGTCAATATCAATAAAACTAACAAAAATAACCAATAACAATAAAGAGCGAAATACCACGTAACAAAGAACACTTAAAACAACTTAACAAATGGGAGACGAGAAAGAAAACGGGCAATAAATTAAGGGCAAACGAGGCAAAAAAGCTCTGAATCGTCCGCATGTTCGGGCCTCGGAGGGAGTTATGGGATTAGATCCCCCCCTTTTCTCTCTCTCTCTCTCTCCTCTCTCCTCTCTCTCTCTCTCTCCTCTCTCTCTCTCTCTCTCTCTCTCTCTCTCTCTCTCTCCTCTCTCTCTCTCTCTCTCTCTCCTCTCTCTCTCTCTCTCTCTCCTCTCTCTCTCTCTCTCTCTCTCTCTCTCTCTCTCTCTCCTCTCTCTCTCTCTCTTCTCTCCTCTCTCTCTCTCTCTCTCTCTCTCTCCCTCTCATCTCTCTCTCTCTCCCTCTCATCTCTCTCTCTCTCTCTCTCTCTCTCTCTCTCTCCTCTCTCTCATCTCTCTCTCTCTCCCTCTCATCTCTCTCTCTCTCTCTCTCCCTCTCATCTCTCTCTCTCTCTCTCTCTCTCTCTCTCTCCTCTTCCTCTCTCTCTCTCTCTCTCCCTCTCTCTCTCTCTCTCCTCTCTCTCTCTCTCTCTCTCTCTCTCTCTCTTCTCTCTCTCTCTCTCTCTCCTCTCTCTCTCTCTCTCTCCCTCTCTCTCCTCTCCTCTCTCTCTCTCTCTCTCTCTCTCTCTCTCTCGCTCTCTCTCTCTCTCCCTCTTCTCAACTCTCTCTCTCTCTCTCTCTCTCTCTCTCTCTCTCTCTCTCTCTCTCTCTCTCTCTCTCCTCTCTCTCTCTCTCGCTCTCTCTCTCTCTCTCTCTCTCTCTCTCCTCTCTCCTCTCCTCTCTCTCTCTCTCTCTCTCTCTCCCTCTCCTCTCTCTCTCTCTCTCTCTCTCTCTCTCTCTCTCTCCTCTCTCTCTCATCTCTCTCTCTCTCTCTCTCCTCTCTCTCTCTCTCTCCTCTCTCTCTCTCTCTCTCTCTCTCTCTCCTCTCTCTCTCCTTCTCTCCCTCTCTCTCTCTCTCTCTCACGCTCTCTCTCCTCTCGCTATCTACTCATCTCTCTATCGATATCTAATGTAGGGGAGACTACGATTCCTATCGATACTAATGTCGCCACGGCGACGAAATTCCTCGACGGTATTTAATTCCAACTGTCTCCAATTTAAGGAGGCGATTATAGTCGTTCGGAGCTGATAGGAATTTGTTTTTTTCATGGTGTTGGGGAGGGGGGGGGGGTGAAGGTACTAAATTTGGGGAGAACTTCTGGACACGAGGCTTTTGTTGGTATAGAAGAATGTTGTAGTGCGACTGTGTGTGTGTGTGAACACCATTTTGTAGCAGTCACCCCTTCTAAAGGTTTCCCAGCCTAATAGCTTGTGAACTATTTAGTGGGTATAACATGCAACTTGCCTCCAGAGACGCCGTTTTCTATACCATAAACTGTCCGGAGCGGCCGTTGTACTTCACTTGTTTGGTCGGGGACAGGGAGATTGTGTATATATATATATATATATATATATATATATATATATATATATGTCGTACCTAGTAGCCAGAACTCACTTTTCAGCCTACTATTCAAGGCCCGATTTGCCTAATAAGCCAAGTTTTCATGAATTAATTGTTTTTCGACTACCTAACCTACCTAACCTAACCTAACCTAACTTTTTCGGCTACCTAACCAAACCTAACCTATAAAGATAGGTTAGGTTAGGTTAGGTAGGGTGGTTAGGTTCGGTCATATATCTACGTAATTTTTAACTCCAATAAAAAAAAAATTGACCTCATACATAATGAAATGGGTAGCTTTATCATTTCATAAGAAAAAAATTAGAAAAAATATATTAATTCAGGAAAACTGGCTTATTAGGCAAATCGGGCCTTGAATAGTAGGCCAAAAAGTGAGTTCTGGCTACTAGGTACGACATATATATATATATATATATATATATATATATATATATATATATATATATATATGTACACTTGTATGCTCACCCACAGCAGCAGAGCCTCACCCACCTGTCACCCACAGCAGCAGAGCCTCACCCACCTGTCACCCACAGCAGCAGAGCCTCACCCACCTGTCACCCACAGGAGCACCCTCACCAGTCACCCTGTAACACCGTAAGGTGTTTGGTTTAGTTTTATTTAATATACATATACAGTTCATGAGTCACAGACAAGAATTTGAGAGGCGCCAGTTTGTCGGCCTGAGCCTCACACCTCTAAGTGTTAATGACCACCAAGTGACCTGAGGTCAGCCATGAGAATTTCACCTTGCTTCCGCTAATCTGATAATGGGCCTTCAAACATGCCGACGTTTAAGGAGTGGCTGGTAGAGAGCCGGAGGCTATCTACTTGTGGGCGGAGTTAGCTACTAGGTTTCCCAATATATTCTCGGAGAGCTATCGATTCTGGAGGATAAGAGAGAAGAACAGCCAGCGGAGCAGAACAGAAGACGGCCTAGCCAGGGAGGCTGTCGGCCGGCGGGGCGGGACAGTCTCTGTCAACTACGGACTCCCCCCCCCCCCCCCCCTCCCTCTCTATCCAGCTATAGGCAGACACTTGGTGAGTTGAACATTAAGGTGACTTTGTCGTGTTTACAAGTGTTGTGTGAGGAAGGGGCAGTCAAATTGTAGGGTTCTCGATTTCTTGGATGATGACTAACTTTGAATATTAATCTTGAACTAATAGTTGAATTGCTTACATTATGATACTTCATGTGAAATATAATTATGAATTTATTATTTAAATTGTCTTTAACTTTGTTCCCTAGAGTTTTTGAGTTGAGGTGAGAAAGCCTCTGCGGTTACTGGGTTCATGATTTTAATGAGTACATGATACAGATGGAACACACTAATAATGACCTCTTGATAACATCTTTGAGTATATTATGGTGATACAGACAAGTTCCATTCCTTGTCTTGTATGTAATGGTCTTGAATGGATGGTGGCAGCATTTCTTCTTCTACTATCTACCTTTCTATTTCTATCTATCTACCCTTCTACTTCTCCTACTCATTTCCTACTTACTCGTTATCCTATTTCCCCCCCGTTACAATCCACCTGTCACCCACAGCAGCAGAGCCTCACCCACCTGTCACCCACAGCAGCAGAGCCTCACCCACCTGTCACCCACAGCACCAGAGACTCACCCACCTGTCACCCACAGCAGCAGAGCCTCACCCACCTGTCACCCACAGCAGCAGAGCCTCACCCACCTGTCACCCACAGCACCAGAGACTCACCCACCTGTCACCCACAGCAGCAGAGCCTCACCCACCTGTCACCCACAGCAGCAGCAGCAGCAGCAGCAGCACAGCCTCCAGGACAGCTGGTCTTGTCATCACGCAGCACAAACACAACTTTGCTCTCTGATATATTTTCTCGTTTAACACATTTGTTATTCCATATTTACTTCCGGTCTCACTTGACAGGAAACATGTATCGTTCAGGCAATAATTAACAGTTTACAACAACAAAAATTAAAACTATAATTTTCAAGGTTAAAAACCATCAGTTTCCAGCACGATCCAGATCACTTTTCTAGTTAAGTTTGTTTTCTAAGTGTCAAATAGTTCTCAAAACACATAGAAAACAATGCAAGTTAAACTTGCCTTGTTACTTCACCGTTTAAGCTTCTTAATATGATCCGCCATCGCAAAAACAAAGTGAAATAACGAATATCCGAAGAGATATAGTAAGGGTCCAGTGATGGAGGCAGAGCGAGCGCCGTGCGTCTCACCACTTCAACGGTCCGTCACACACTGAGCTGCTACTGGAGTCTCCAGGGGTTTGTTTACTCTTTCCGCGCTTCCCATTGGCTGGCTCAACGGTCAAGATGATGCGCTCTTGTTTCGGGAGAATTATGGATGAATATGGTCGTTAGAGGGAGAATTACAGATGAATATGGTTGTTTGGGGAGTATTATGGTAGTTTGTTGATAATTATGGATGAATACGGTAATTTGGAGAGAATTATGGATGAATACGGTAATTTGGAGAGAATTATGGATGAATATGGTTATTCTTTGAGCATTATGGATGAATATGGTTGTTCTGGGAGTATTATGGATGAATATGGTTGTTCTGGGAGTATTATGCATGAATATTTGAGCCTGGTAATTTGGACATTGTATTTGATATAGTTTAGCAGGATAACATTTTGGTGTGTTTTATATAATTGGCAATGTTTACATTTGACAATATCAAACACTGGAGCTTGTGCAGACAAGACAGACAAGCAGATAAGGAAGTCAGACAAGCAGACAAGGAAGACAGACAAGCAGACAAAGACCAGCAGACCAGAGACAGACAAGCAGGCGACCCAGTAACCCTCCATAACATTACCGTGTTTTATGGTCGGTCTAATTAAATGCCAATTTTGTCCAGACTCTTTATAGTGAGGGAGAGCTGTGTTGGTCGCGTCTGTTGGTCTACACGCTGTGGGGGCCTCGCGGGGTCGAGCTCCGGCTCTTGGGCCCCGACTTTCAATTTCAGTTCAAATCAAAGACTTTTGTTTACATTTGAAGTTGTTAATCGTGTTTTTATAAACGGATTGTATCGAGGGGTCTCCACTACCATCCACAGGACGGGTATGGGGTCCACTACCACCCACAGGATGGGTATGGGGTCCACTACCATCCACAGGACGGGTATGGGGTCCACTACCACCCACAGGATGGGTATGGGGTCCACTACCATCCACAGGACGGGTATGGGGTCCACTACCACCCACAGGATGGGTATGGGGTCCACTACCACCCACAGGACGGGTATGGGGTCCACTACCACCCACAGGATGGGTATGGGGTCCACTACCATCCACAGGACGGGTATGGGGTCCACTACCACCCACAGGATGGGTATGGGGTCCACTACCACCCACAGGACGGAAATGGGGTCCACTACCACCCACAGGAAGGGTATGGGGTCCACTACCACCCACAGGATGGGTATGGGGTCCACTACCACCCACAGGATGGGTATGGGGTCCACTACCACCCACAGGATGGGTATGGGGTCCACTACCACCCACAGGAAGGGTATGGGGTCCACTACCACCCACAGGATGGGTATGGGGTCCACTACTACCCACAGGATGGGTATGGTCTCCACTACCACCCACAGGATGGGTATGGGGTCCACTACCACCCACTGGATGGGTATGGGGTCCACTACCACCCACAGGATGGGTATGGTCTCCACTACCACCCACAGGATGGGTATGGGGTCCACTACCACCCACTGGATGGGTATGGGGTCCACTACCACCCACTGGATGGGTATGGGGTCCACTACCACCCACCGGATGGGTATGGGGTCCACTACCACCCACCGGATGGGTATGGGGTCCACTACCACCCACCGGATGGGTATGGGGGTCCACTACCACCCACAGGACGGGTATGGGGTCCACTACCACCCACAGGATGGGTATGGGGTCCACTACCACCCACAGGACGGAAATGGGGTCCACTACCACCCACAGGATGGGTATGGGGTCCACTACCACCCACAGGAAGGGTATGGGGTCCACTACCACCCACAGGATGGGTATGGGGTCCACTACCACCCACAGGAAGGGTATGGGGTCCACTACCACCCACAGGATGGGTATGGGGTCCACTACCACCCACAGGAAGGGTATGGGGTCCACTACCACCCACAGGATGGGTATGGCGTCCACTACCACCAACAGGATGGGTATGGGGTCCACTACCACCCACAGGAAGGGTATGGGGTCCACTACCACCCACAGGAAGGGTATGGGGTCCACTACCACCCAGGATGGGTATGGCGTCAGGATGGGTATGGGGTACTACCACCCACAGGACGGAAATGGGGTCCACTACCACCCACAGGATGGGTATGGGGTCCACTACCACCAACAGGATGGGTATGGGGTCCACTACCACCCACAGGATGGGTATGGGGTCCACTACCACCCACAGGATGGGTATGGGGTCCACTACCACCCACAGGATGGGTATGGGGTCCACTACCACCAACAGGATGGGTATGGGGTCCACTACCACCCACAGGATGGGTATGGGGTCCACTACCACCCAGAGGATGGGTATGGGGTCCACTACCACCCAGAGGATGGGTATGGGGTCCACTACCACCCAGAGGATGGGTATGGGGTCCACTACCACCCACAGGATGGGTATGGGGTCCACTACCACCCACAGGATGGGTATGGGGTCCACTACCACCCACAGGATGGGTATGGGGTCCACTACCACCCACAGGATGGGTATGGGGACCACTACCACCAACAGGAGGATGGGTATGGGGTCCACTACCACCCACAGGATGGGTATGGGGTCCACTACCACCAACACAGGATGGGTATGGGGTCCACTACCACCCACAGGACGGAAATGGGGTCCACTACCACCCACAGGATGGGTATGGGGTCCACTACCACCCACAGGATGGGTATGGGGTCCACTACCACCCACAGGATGGGTATGGGGTCCACTACCACCCACAGGATGGGTATGGGGTCCACTACCACCCACAGGATGGGTATGGGGTCCACTACCACCCACAGGATGGGTATGGGGTCCACTACCACCCACAGGATGGGTATGGGGTCCACTACCACCCACAGGATGGGTATGGGGTCCACTACCACCCACAGGATGGGTATGGGGTCCACTACCACCCACAGGATGGGTATGGGGTCCACTACCACCCACAGGATGGGTATGGGGTCCACTACCACCCACAGGATGGGTATGGGGTCCACTACCACCCACAGGATGGGTATGGGGTCCACTACCACCCACAGGATGGGTATGGGGTCCACTACCACCCACAGGATGGGTATGGGGTCCACTACCACCCACAGGATGGGTATGGGGTCCACTACCACCCACAGGATGGGTATGGGGTCCACTACCACCCACAGGATGGGTATGGGGTCCACTACCACCCACAGGATGGGTATGGGGTCCACTACCACCCACAGGATGGGTATGGGGTCCACTACCACCCACAGGATGGGTATGGGGTCCACTACCACCCACAGGATGGGTATGGGGTCCACTACCACCCACAGGATGGGTATGGGGTCCACTACCACCCACAGGATGGGTATGGGGTCCACTACCACCCACCGGATGGGTATGGGGTCCACTACCACCCACAGGATGGGTATGGGGTCCACTACCACCCACAGGATGGGTATGGGGTCCACTACCACCCACAGGATGGGTATGGGGTCCACTACCACCCACAGGATGGGTATGGGGTCCACTACCACCCACAGGATGGGTATGGGGTCCACTACCACCCACAGGATGGGTATGGGGTCCACTACCACCCACAGGATGGGTATGGGGTCCACTACCACCCACAGGATGGGTATGGGGTCCACTACCACCCACAGGATGGGTATGGGGTCCACTACCACCCACAGGATGGGTATGGGGTCCACTACCACCCACAGGATGGGTATGGGGTCCACTACCACCCACAGGATGGGTATGGGGTCCACTACCACCCACAGGATGGGTATGGGGTCCACTACCACCCACAGGATGGGTATGGGGTCCACTACCACCCACAGGATGGGTATGGGGTCCACTACCACCCACAGGATGGGTATGGGGTCCACTACCACCCACAGGATGGGTATGGGGTCCACTACCACCCACAGGATGGGTATGGGGTCCACTACCACCCACAGGATGGGTATGGGGTCCACTACCACCAACAGGATGGGTATGGGGTCCACTACCACCCACAGGATGGGTATGGGGTCCACTACCACCCACAGGAAGGGTATGGGGTCCACTACCACCCACAGGATGGGTATGGGGTCCACTACCACCCACAGGACGGAAATGGGGTCCACTACCACCCACAGGATGGGTATGGGGTCCACTACCACCCACAGGAAGGGTATGGGGTCCCACTACCACCCACAGGATGGGTATGGCGTCCACTACCACCAACAGGATGGGTATGGGGTCCACTACCACCCACAGGATGGGTATGGGGTCCACTACCACCCACAGGACGGAAATGGGGTCCACTACCACCCACAGGATGGGTATGGCGTCCACTACCACCAACAGGATGGGTATGGGGTCCACTACCACCCACAGGACGGAAATGGGGTCCACTACCACCCACAGGATGGGTATGGCGTCCACTACCACCAACAGGATGGGTATGGGGTCCACTACCACCCACAGGAAGGGTATGGGGTCCACTACCACCCACAGGAAGGGTATGGGGTCCACTACCACCCACAGGATGGGTATGGGGTCCACTACCACCCACAGGACGGAAATGGGGTCCACTACCACTCACAGGATGGGTATGGGGTCCACTACCACCCACAGGATGGGTATGGGGTCCACTACCACCCACAGGATGGGTATGGGGTCCACTACCACCCACAGGATGGGTATGGGGTCCACTACCACCCACAGGATGGGTATGGGGTCCACTACCACCCACAGGAAGGGTATGGGGTCCACTACCACCCACAGGATGGGTATGGGGTCCACTACCACCCACAGGATGGGTATGGGGTCCACTACCACCCACAGGATGGGTATGGGGTCCACTACCACCCACAGGATGGGTATGGGGTCCACTACCACCCACAGGATGGGTATGGGGTCCACTACCACCCACAGGATGGGTATGGGGTCCACTACCACCCACAGGATGGGTATGGGGTCCACTACCACCCACAGGATGGGTATGGGGTCCACTACCACCCACAGGATGGGTATGGGGT